TTATAGTTATTGTTTATTGTTTCCCATTTTGATGTTAATGTTTTTATAAACATTTTTTTAAGTTTGAAAAGCTAAATCACATTAGCGTTGTCTTATATACATAATTCATCATGATTAATTTGTTAACACCACAACGAAAACATGACACTTCAAAAAACTCTTTTTCTATAATAATATTGTTCGTTTTACTGATAATAACGACAATAATAATATTTCCCACACAAACAAATGCAAACTACGTGATCGGAGCACCATATACTGAAGAAGAAGACGGTTTAATAATATGGGGACGATAACGTACCCAACCGGTGACGTCCTCTTGCGTCTCGTAAAACTCAAAGGCCCTTCTACCACTTCTAATACCACCACGACAGATGGTGTCGATAATACATGTGTCGAGTCGAGAATGCGTTTCCGCCTCATTTCCGCAAAAAATTCTTCGGTGATACCAATCGAATTCCTGTACGAAATCGATGATATCAATTTCTGTTCTCATTGGATTCGGTTGTTCCCGTTAGACGGAGAATCCTTTATGGTGTCTTATTTCACGCCGTTTAATGATTCAGCTTCTTCGAAAACTGTATATCAGGAAAATGCGTTGGTGGTTGATTGGTTTTCTAGATTTATCGCGTAAGTTTATTTTTTTACCATATTTCTTGCTGTATTTTATTGGGCAATTTTGAAAAAGAAATAATCGTTTTCTATTTAAAAGTGAGATTCGATTTGGAAATGTCACAGTGAATGATATTAGCGAGCTCAGGAGTGGATTTGGTGCAGTGAACATCAATCCGGACAATGGCTTTATATGGTCTAATTTCTACGGGGGTTTGCCCTTGCTTAGATGGGCACATTTTAGTTCACTGTAATTATCCAATTGACTCTTTGAAACTTTTTCAAATAACATGATTGATTCTAGGTTGTTTTTGTTTACATAGAGGAAAGGCTTTTAGGCAGATTCGTGATGGGGGGCTGGCAATATTGATGTGTCTTGGACCGATCCGAGCGTGAAAGTTTTCCGACTGCTGATGAAGGGTAAGCTTGATTTTGTTTTTCTTTCTTGTCTAGTAAATGCATCATAGGTGTAATATTAATAGTACATGTCGTGTTATAGTTATGGATTTTTAATAACAGGCGCAGATTCAACAAATGGTAGTAATAATACTAGTCCTCAGCAACGATCATGGCACGCAAAAGTATATTTTCTAATCCCAAATCAAAACATGTTGAGGGAGTCCGGCGAATTCACTGTCTACAACCATGAACAGCCCGCAACCAATATGACTCCAGTCGACTGTACCCTAAAAAGTGAAGAAAACGAAAACAGCATATTCACATGCGTACTAAAAATAACCGACGAAAACAGTACTTCATACAAACTTATATCATTCAAACAACAACAGCAACAACCATCCATCAGCAACCTATCCCTAAACATTGACACAAACGAATTGAGCGTGTCCAATGTGAAACCGCTCTCAACCGGTGACGTTTTTGTCGCGGCGACTTATAAGAATAATAATTCGATAACCGGGCAGATTTATAAAAACGGGGCGTTTAATTCTACCTGGGATTATAATCAAGTGAAATATGATCATCCGTTAATTTCTGGTGTTTTTCAAAATAATTCGGCGTATTTGTTGGTTTCTGCCGGGAATGATACGAGTGTGCCAACTCCGTCCAATTTTACTGTGGTCAAAGATTGGAATTTGGTTACCATTAATTTCAAAGGTTTATCAGGAGGAGAAGGAGAAAGTAAGTATTATATTGATTGCAATTTCTTTAAATGAGCAAATGAATTGATTAATAAATAAATTCATTTAAAAAAAAAGGCACGGAAGGAAACGTCCAAAAAACAATCCCTGTGAACAACTCAACGATCCAGTTAAGATTCAAAGAAATATCAATAAAATTCAAATATCCAGTCGCATTATCAACCGGCAACCTAACAATCTATCAAGTACCCGACAAATTGCGAGAAACGTATCCCGCCAATTCCGCGAAACTTACAAACAGTAACTACACAGTCACAATGTCGGTGTTGGATAGTACGTTTAATCGACCCAATCAAAAATATAGTATCAAGGTTGATGAGAATTTTGTGAGATCGGCTTCTTTTAATTCTTCGATGATGGGTATTTCTGATTGGACTGTTTATACAGGTATTTGTTTTTTTATATTGTATTATTGTGCGATTTTACGATTTTACGAATTTCTTATTAAATGCTATTTATTTTTTTGTAATACGATAGTGAATAGTTCTGATGATTCATCCTCAGGTAATATATTTGTTTGTAATTGGATTAATCTGTGATTCCTAAAATCGTATAAACTAATATTAAAATTAACGATTACAGAGAGCACCGATTGCATAATCCGTTTAACCGTCGATGGCACCAACACCTTCAAATCACTATCGTCCAATTACCACAAATCATTCCTCGTCTCACTTACCAAAGCCCTCGAACCAATTGTTCCAATACCTAGTGATCGTCTCTACGCACCCGGTAAATTCCAATACGCTGATCACAAAAATCTATTGATAGCCGTCACGATCGAGCATTGCGAACGTGTCAAGCGTGTCAAGCGTGATTAAGGATTTAGATACGCTGATAAAAAATAAGTTATCTACGGCCGTTTCGCAGGATAAAATTGCTATAAATTTGGATGAGTCTTTTGGGTTCCAAATTAAACGTATGAAATTATTGAATTACACGTCTATTGTTTATATTATCCGTTGATTGCTCATTTTGTTTTTTGTTAACTTGGATTGTAGCGAAATTCTTCGAAGAGCATAAAAAAGAGATAAGCTCTTTCGCGAGTGGTCTGTTTTGATTGCTTTACTTTGCGTACTAACACATTACAAAAATCCAACAGTAAGTTTTTTGTTACTTACACATTCAGTTCAATAATTTATTTATTTTTATAATTAACGCGTTCTGATAATCATTTTATAGGGAAGCTTATACAGTGTATTTAAAGTTGCAATTTACTTTTTCGACTGTTTGTTGGACTTTTTATTCGTATTCAAGTATGGCGAGGACATTCCTTCTCTGTATATAGTAAGGTACGTTACATATTGCAAACCTTTCATCCTCACTATACAAACTAATCTTTAAAATGTGATCGAATAAAAAACAGCATAGTCTTCCTATTCGTACCAATAGCAAGCAATGGCTTCATGACAGTATTCTTACAGCTCCGCGAGAAAATCACCAACAAAAAATACAAATCTTGGTACCGCAACAATTTGGTCGTCGCTTCGTTCTTTGGCGCGACTTCCGTGATAAATGTGGACGTGTTAACGATCACCTATTCGCAGCTGTTGGATATCAATGCGTTCAAGGCGTCTTGTTCGCCTGAGATGGGAAGAAAGATTTTTTACATGAATTGGTTTAATTTGTTTGTGCAGGATTTGCCGCAGCTTGTTATTTTGGTTAGTTTCAACTTTTTTTTCGTATTTATCGTTATATGGTTGTGACGGAACGTAACTGATTTTGATGCATTATTATTCGCAGATTTTATATCATAAAAATGTAGTTGTGATGAACTTTGTTCCTTTCTTTGCGTTAGTCACATCAGGAATAATGGTCTTGAGTAATTTCACGCTACGAATCTATCACAC